CCAGTTTTACATTCAACAAATCATACACCTTGTTTCATTGCATTGATTATAATCCCCTCCATGTACCATCAGTTAACAGTATTTCTCTTTATCCACTTCAGCTTTTTAAATAACAAACAAAAAATCCACTCAGGCATATATAATAATTTACATCTCTAAAGGGCACATTCTGCAAGTCTGCCTCCTGGCCACCAGCTCTTAGTCCCTCTCTTCCCATAAATCTAGAGTTCTCAGCCACTCCCCCTCGCCATGTCCCCATCTCTGCCTCCACCTTTGGCACTTCTGATTCTCTGGATAAGGTCCCGCATTCTGCTTGTGCTCTTCTCTCTTGATGGTTCTACGGTCCTCTGTTTCTGGACTGTAAGATTAACCACTCCCCTGTTATTGTTACAAAACTTCTACCTTTACAATTGTGACAGTTGCAATTAGTCATAACAATTATTCACTATTGGATCATATGAATCTTATTCCCATCTCTTTTCACCAGACCCATCTAGACAAGATGACAGCTATTCAGTGGGGACTCTTTCTTTCCCCTCATACTCTTAAACTAAACTCCCTCTTGAAACCTTGTAAGCTAGTCACTTCGTGCCTTTATCGCCCCCTCATTTTAAGTAGCTTTGTCTAAGTTGCTGGTCCCTATCTACCCTGTGTACAGAGGGGATAGCATTGATACTTGATGTGAAAACTCCTTTCCTCTCTGTTGGTATTTAGAGTAACTACTGCTCTGAGTATAGGTCAGGTTCATCAAACTGAAGCAATTTACCCTTGTTTCCTTTATCAAAAAAAAAAAAAAAATTTTTTTTTTTTTTCAATCTTCCTCTAGTCAAGTTCTGATTACTGAGCCATCGAGGCTAGGTCAAAGGGTACTGTATGCAAGTTTGGGTGTTCTTGTGCATCTCCCCTCACTTCATATCAGTTGGATGCTTCACTCTCAGCTCTAGCCCTCTGTGGCTAAGTCCTTGTCCATGGGTTGAAGTTTCCTCAGGTCTCACCATACTTTGGACTAACCAGCCCTTCCTCTTCTCTCTCTCATCTCCAGGTCAATGGGATTCAATGGACTGGGGTTGAATTTAGCCCTTTTCTTCATTGCTGCCTTTCCCCCTCTTCCACTCACCAGTAGACCAATGAGGTCGCCACCAAGTTTACATGCTAGTTTGTGTATTCCCTTTGAGTTTCAGTCTTAGAGGGGAGTTTGTCCTGAAGGAACTTGATTGCTAGCCTTGATATCTTCCTGGCAAACAGCTTGCTTATTCTTGTAGTAGCCAGTCATGCTGACATTTTTGTTTTGGGTTTTTCCTGATGATCCTTCTTTGAAGATGTATTTTCTGTCACTGTAGTTGTTCCAGTCTGCTTGTCCTTGCTAGTGGAAATATCCCACCTCAGAAGGTTCTGGATGGGACTCAGGATTCCATCTCAGGTCCTATACTCTGTAAAGGCTTTGCACAAGGTCTATTTCACTGGGCAAGTTGTAGAACCCCTTTTAGGTATTCCAATCAGTTATAGGCTGAAGGTGGGCTTACAAGTTTTCTCTAATCATGTTTCCCAACTTTCTTTTCTATCCCACTCAAGTGTCTTTTCACAATAGTAGGCAAGGGAAACTAATATTCATAAGGCAGTCAAGGATTTTAGTATTATTTACCTTCTTCAAGCTATACCCAGATCCCTGTATCCCAGAGTTCCAAGGTTGAGTATGCATCACTATTTACCTCTGTCCCACTAGGCCATGCAAACCTGTCTCAGTGTTCCCCTATCTAGCTTGCTCTTCTGCCTCCTGCCCTCCTCCTGTATTGCCCTCCCCAACACCCAAACTAACCCCCCCACACCAATCCCATTGTGGTTGCCTTATATTCCATTAGTTCTTCCCTCCATTAAAGACAGTCTATTTTATCCAGTAATCTACCTGATCTTCCCACCACCTGGATCTCTGTTCCTCGGTGTTTACCTTCTTTCACATTGTAATTGTTTTGACCATAGACTGACTTCCCAGATCCTCTGTTCTTAAAATTTTATTCTGTTCTTGACTCTTCCATTTGCCAATTTGAGTTCAGGGTGATGCTGCCATGTACGTCATTCTCTTGTTGTTGTCTGTTCTTGTTGGTTCTTAGTTCACAGAACTTCCTTTTGGATGTTTTTCATACACCATCGTATATGATTGACAGCTTTGCTGGGTAAAGGATTCTTGGGTGGCAGTTCTTTTCTTTCAGGGTTGTATATATGTCTCCCCATTGCCTTCTTGCCTGCATGGTTTCTGTTGAGAGATCTGAGCTTAATCTGATTTGCTTGCCTTTGTATGTTACACTTCTCTTTTCCCTAGCTGCTTTCAAGATCCTGTCCTTATCTTTGAATTTGGACAGCTTGATTATTATATGCTGTGGTGATTGTCTTTTAGGGTCTATCCATCCTGGGGTTCGTTGAGCTTCTTGAATGCTTATCTTTTCACTTTTCATGATGTTAGGAAATTTTTCTTCAGAAGCTCTTCAACTATCTCCTCTGTGGACTTGTGTGATTGTTCCTGTTCCGGAACGGCAAAAATTCTTAAGTTATTCCTTTTCATGTTGTCCAACATGAATCTTAGGCCTTCTTCAGTTTTTGTTTTTGTTTTTTTAATCCTTTTTTGTGCTTGCTCTTCTATCTTAGTAGTGTTGAGAGATTTATCTTCTAGCTCACTAGTTCTGGCTTCTATCTCTTCAGTTCTACTCCTTTGCCCTTTCATTTTATTGTCCATTTCTGATATTCTATTATTAATCATTTGGACCTCTTTCTGTAGGGTTTGAATTGTTTCCAGTGCTGTATCTATCTTATTTGATTGTTCCTGTAGTGCTTTCCTGACTTCTTCCTTATTTTTCTCAACTCCATTGTACAGTGTTTTGATATATTTTATAATCATTTTTTTTAATTCCTTCTCAGGCATTTCCAAAGCCTGCCCATCTTCCAGTATGGAGTGTAGGTCTCCTTCCAGCTCATTTGCCTCAGTCACTTTATCTTGTTTCTGGACATGTGCAGATATGGTCATCTGTTTCTGTTTCTTGGACATATTCAGGCATTATCTGTAGCCTTAATACCTAGATGGGTGTGTATTTTGGTGTTTTTTATGCTTTCTGATTGCCTCCAGGTAGAAGTGATCATGAAATGGGCTTCCCTTTTCACTCTTCTTCTTGAGAAATTTCAAGATGCCACTGTTGGTTGTTTTGATGTAACTTAGGATTTAATTTTTGGCCTATTTCTGTTTTTGTCTGCCTGTCCCACTTGACAATCCCCTTTCAGGACTTTTTATTCTAGTTATAAACAGTTCAGGACCGGCTGTGGCCATTTTCTTTTAGTTAGAAACTGTCTCTTTAAATTTCAAGGAGATATGTGCGCATGTGTAGTAGAACCCTCTGAGAATGGGGCTTGGGTGTCCACTAGCTCAGGCACCCCTATAGTCACCAGAATGGAGGTGCACAGACAGCCAGGGTCCAATGAGCAGATACCAAAAGAAAAGAACGTCTACACCTTTATCTTCATTGTTCTGTCAGGCATCCGAGGCTGCTCTGATCCTTCCCCCTCTTGGTCTCTCCCAAAATGGTGGCTCCTGGAGCAGCTGAGTGTCTTGAATTAGAAAACAATGGATTTCTTGCTTCTGTTAAAAATTCCCCTAGCTGTAAGCCTTCTAACCTTCTAAATATTCCTTTATATGTGTTTCAGAGTTCTGGGACCATCCCCTGAAGCCTGCTTGGTCCTGTACTCTGTGTTGTTGCTGATGGAGCTCCTTACTGCACGTCCACCTGATCAGCCATCTTGTTTGTTCTTTCATCAATCAATTTAGTCTTTTGGAATAACTCTTGTGCCAACCTCTGAAAATCCAGCAAAATATACACTGATGATCTGTGCTATACCTTGTGTTATGTCAATAATTATAAATGTTTGCTAATAGAAAAAAAAGAAAATGATTCTCGGATCTCCAAATCTCATCATTCAATCTTTTCTCCAACTCCAACTCAGAGGTTAGAATATCACTTAGCATCAGAAATGTATTCAATTCAGTTAGAAAGTTTCAATGTCTGCAGGAAAAAAATTATAAAGCTGTTGTTTTCAAGTGCCAACAAGTTGGTTCTGACTCATAGCAAACCAATATAGGGTTTCTGAAGAGTGGCTGGTGGGTTTGAATCCTTGATCTTGCAATTATCTGTCCAGTGCTTTACCTACAGTGCCACACCAAGACTCCATTATAAAGCTAGGGGGAATAAGTGGATGAAACTAGAATCTATTTTGAAGGCAATGTGAGGTCCCTACTTTGTGACTCCAGTACCTAGTAGAGGATCAGGCATACAGCAGGTGTCCAAGAAAATTGTTCAGTGTATGAACAGAACCTGCTAAGACAAGTAAAGGTAGACACTAAGTTTCCGTGTTGACATTAAGTGTCGTGGAGTTGGTTTCGACTCATAGCAACCCTCTATAAGGTTTCGGAGTATCACCAAACTTGCGGTTCAAACCACCAATTTGCAGTTGTGTGTTAGTCCTACAGCACCACACCAGGACTCCTTGCTTAAAACATGAGACCAGAATAGGCTCAAACCTCAGAGAGATGGTGAACTATACTGATAGAATTTGGATTTCCAGGATTTGAAATTGTAATGTGCAATAGTACTTACATCTGTGCCAGCAACATATGATGAATAAAATACCACAGATACCAACTACTATGATGAAGATGATGATCCACAATGGGAATGAATTCTCAGGAAGAGGCTTCGCTGTGAAGGAAAATATAATAATTTCAGATCTAAAGTGTTTCCCATTGTCTGATACCTATTCTATGCCTCTAATAAAAGTAGTTTCATAATATTATAGCTATACCTTTGTACGATGACCTTAATAAGTCACAGCAGCACTTTAATGATCATTTTATTTATTGATCTAAAAATACTTATCAAAGTCTATACACACAATTCTAATGTATATCTGATTGAGCTATTTTCTTCTTAGATTCTATTCAGTAAAAACCTCCCCAAATAATGTCACTTACATATTATCCAAGAGAAGTTTTGTGACACTTCTTTGTCTCCATACTTGATAACACAAATGAACGTATGGTTTCTTGTCAGATTGAAACAGAGTTCACTGCTGATAGTGTAGAGTTCAGTTTCAGGATCTTGGGTAACTGCAGGGTTCATCACATTTAGTTCTTCTCCATTGTCCAACCAGGAGAGGTGAGGCTCTGGAAAACCTCCAGAGGTTGAACAATTTATCTTCTTAATGTCAGTAGATTGGTTTCCTAAGTCAGTTATAATAGGATCCTGGAAGTCTACTGAAGAAATAATGAAGATGTTAGAACATACAGCTTCATAGCTGTGTGTGTGTATGCACAAACATAGGAACACACATATTGAAGTTCATATATTTTAAATAAATTACCTAACATTAATAAGAATGATAAAATAAATTATGATTTGCTATTTCACATAAATCATTAGTAATATTATTGTTGTTGTTAGGTATTGTTGAGTCAGATCCAACTTATCGTGATCCTTCCTACATACAACAAAATAAAACACAATCTGGTCTTGCATCATCCTTACAATCATTGCTATATTTCAGTTCGTTGTTGTAGCCACTTTGTCAATCTGTTTTTTTGAGGGCCTTCCTCTTTTTTGCTCACCCTCTACTTTACCAAACATGGTGTCCTTCTCCAGGGAATGTTGTTGTTGTTGTTGTCAGGTGCCATCGAGTCAGAACCGACTCATAGCGACCCCATGAACAGCAGAACGAAACAATGTCCGATCCTGGGCCAACCTCACTACCGCTGCCACACTTGAGTCCATCAATGATGCCACCTGGCCAATCCGTCTTGTTAGGGGTCTTCCTCTTTTTCTCTGACCCTCCACCTTACCCAGCATGACATCCTTCTCCAGCGACTGTTTCCTCCGGACAATATGTCCAAACTCGAGGGAATAGTTTCTCCTAATAGCATTTCCAAAGTACATGAGATGAAGTCTTGCCATCTTTTAATGCCTTCTATGGAGCCAGAGCATTCTGGCTGTATTTCCAGACAGATTTTTTTCTTTTTCTGGAAGTCCATGGTATATTTACAGTTTGTCACTGACATCATAATTCAAAGCCATCAATTCTACTTCAGTCTTCTTATAATGAATAGGCATTCACATGCATATGAGATGTCTGAAAATGGTTTGGATTAGGCACAAAACAACATCTTTGCTTTTTAATACTTTAAAGAGATCTTTTTCAGTAGATGCACCCAATTCAACACATTATTTAAATCTTGAGTGCTGCTTTCAGGGTCTTTGATTGTGGATCCAAGTAAAATAAAATCCTTGACAACGTCACCTTTTCTCTGTTCATCATGATATTGTTTTTGGTTCAGTTTTGAGGATTTTTGTTTTCTTTATGTTTATGTGTAATCCATACTGAAGGGTATGGTCTTTGATTTTCATCAGTAAGTACTTAGCATCCTCTTTGCTTTCAGTAAGCAAGGTTATGTTATCTGCATAATCCAGGTTGTTAGTGAGCATTCTTCCAATTGTGATATCATGTTCTTCTTATATAATCCATGTTTAACATACAGATTGAATAAGTATGTGAAAGGATGCAACCTTGATGCACATCGTTCCTGATTTTAAACCACACAGTATCCCTTGTTCTGTTTAAATGATTGATTCTTGGTCAATGCATAGGTTTCCTATGAGCACAGTTAAGCATTCGGAATTTCCCATTCATCACAATGTTATCTATAATTTACTATTATCCACACAGTTGAATAAGTTTGTATAGTCAATAAAACACAGGTAAACATCTTTTGGTATTCTCTACTTTCAGTCATAATCTGTCTGACATTAACAGTGAAATTTCTCATTACATGTTCTCTACTGATCTGGCTTGAATTTGTGGAAGTTGTCTGTGAATGTACTCCTGCAACCATTTTGGAATCATCTTGAACAAAATTTTACTTGCATGTAATATTAATGATATTGTTTAATAATTTCTTCATTCTGTTAGGTTATGGGTTATGCATGGGTATGTGTTTCTTCCATTCAGTTGTCCAGGTAGTTGTTTTTCAAATTTCCTGTCATAAACAAGGGAGCTTATCTATTTGTTGAAACATTCAATTAGTATTCTATCAATTCCTGGAGTCTTGCTTTTTTACCAATGTCTGTAGTTCTTTCTTCAGTACCATCAGTTCTTGTTCATATGTTACCTCCTGAAATGGTTGAACATCGACCAATTATTTTTGATACAGTGACTCTATATTCCTTCCGTTTTCTTTCTTTCTTTTTTTTTTTTTTTAAAACCTTTTATTGTAAATTGAGTGAAGGTTTACAGTGCAGATCATCAGTTTTTACATTCAACAAACCGTATGCTTTACTTCACTACATGGTTGCAATCTCCTCCATGTACTAACAGTTAACAGCATTTCACTTAAATTTTTACATTCCTCCTTGTGTCTCCCGCTACCTTCATCTTTCCTCTGCTAATCTCCCTCTTGTTATATATTGCTTGCTCTGTCACCCATGCTAACATGCATCTACCCTCTAGCCCATGAGTACCCCACCCCCATGACCATCCTAGATTGTTTCTTTTATCAAGAAAAACTTTTTACAACATTGGTCTCATACAGTGGTTATCCTTTTATGATTGGCTAATTTCACACAGCATAATGTCCTCCAGGTGCAATCATGGTGTGAGGTGTTCACAGATTTCTCGTCAACATTTTGTACTATTCCATTGTGTGTATGTACCAAAATTTGTTTAACCATTCTTCTGTTGATGGACATTTAGACTATCTCTATCTTTTTTATATGTCTCTTGTAGATAGCCTATAGAAGAATCCTGTTTTCTTATCCATTCTGCTCTTTATGTCTTTTGACTGGTACACTTAATCCATTTGCATTCAGTGCAATTATCAGTAGGTATAAATTGATTGTTGTTATTTTCTGTGTGGTTTGTGTGTGTGTGTGTGGTGCTGCTGGATTCTTTGTTCCACATAATTTTCTATGCTGAGTTCATTTTGTTTGTTTGTTTTCTTATCATTTTCATTTCTGTTATGTTAATGTTTACTAAATCTTTCTAATTTGCCTTTTTTTTTTTACTTTGATGTGCAGGTGTATTATTTTTCTTTGAGGTTATCATGTAAATTATTAATTTTTTGTTGCTTAAAACAGTCTGTTTTATCTTGAGATCTGCTTGACTTCCTTAACAATCACAAGTTCTATATCTATATGATTCCCTCTTTTTGCTTTGTAATTGACTCCATTATACATTGATATCTCTGGCTCCCTATTTTTGGTTTTGTAGCTTTGGTTCACTTTAAAAACTTCTATCTCTGGATTGAGTTCTGGTGTTGTTGTTATGAATCGTAATCTTAGGTTGTTGTCTGCTGTTGTTTCTCAGTGCAAAGAAAACCCTTTATCATTTGTGTAAAGTTGGTCTGGTCATTACACATTCATTTAATTTCTGTTTATCAGGATATATCCTAATTTAACCATTATAATTGAGGAACAGCTTTGCTGGATATATGATTCTTGGTTGGCAATTTTTCTGTTAGAGTTTTGCATTTGTCATTCCATTGCCTTCTTGCCTACATAGTTTTTGCTGAGAAATCAGAGGTTAGTCTTTTTGGTTCTCCTTTGCAGGTAACTTTTTATTTATCTCAAGCTGTCTCAGGGTTCTTTCCTTGTCTTTGATTTTGGAAAGTTTGATTATGATATGTCTTGGTGATTTTCTTTTGGGATTTATCCTGTTTGGGGTTCATTTAGCTTCTTGAATGGCTATCTACTTGTCTTTCATGATGTTAGGGAAGCTTTCTTCCAACAACTCTTTGACAATTTTCTCTATGCTTGTCTCTCCCTGTTCTGAAATTCTGATCACCCATAAGTTGTTGCTATTGATAGTGTCCTACATAACTCTTATGCTTTCTTTGGATTTTTTCATTATTTTTTCTGATTGTTCTAACATACTAGTATTGAGAGATTTATCTTTCGTCTCACTAATTAAGTAGCTTTGCATCTACTTCTTTGCCCTTTCAATGTCCATTTCTGAGATCTCAGTTATAATCTTCTGATTTCTAATTGCAAGTTATATATTGTTTCAAAATTTGCATTTATTTTGTCTGCTTTTTCTTGTAATGATTTCCTGAATTCTTCCAAATTTTTCATTGTGTTCTCTTTTCATTCATTGCTTTTTCTATTAATCTTTGGAAGGTACCTAATTATAATTCTTTTCAATTAGATCTATTTTTACCTTTTCTTCTTCAAAAACGTCTCTGGCTTTAAATTTTGGTCATTTATTTGAGCCATTCCCTATTGCTTCTTAGTGTGAACTAAAATTGTTTGTTTTTATGGGACATTGTAAAGTTTTTATATTTGTAAAATAAACAGTGCAATTGTTGGCTCCAAAAGGGAGAAATTTCTTGGAGGCTCCTGCAATTCAAGGAGCTCACAAGGTTGTTGTGGAAGGGTGTGTGACAACAGAGTTCCTGGCCCTAGATGGAGTTCCTATTAGCCTCAGTGTTATCTATGTTCAGGGCACTCAATCTGTAAGTAGTTCATGAGGCCCTTGATGGAACTAGTTTCACTGTCTGTTAGGATGACAGGTAAGCTGGGTCAGGCTGACTGGTTAAATGCTGGTCTGGTAGCTCTTTGAGTTTTGAAGGTCTGGAGCCAAACCCACCTGAATCCAGGCACCAAAACGACACACAAAAGCAGTACAGCCGGCTCCCACATCATGCTGACATGACTTTTTTCAGCTCTGAACTCCTGGAGAGCAGGGTCTGTGCTGGGTGCACGAGGATGGGAACAGGTCAAACTTCTGGTCACTAGGGCAGCATGAGGAAAAAGAAGAAATTGTACCTTTTTCATCAAGCTTGTGAATTTGTTCTTCCAGGCCTCCGTCCACTGCCAAAGCTACTCACAAGATTGTCAAGTCATATCTGGCCAGCTGTTCACCAGTCAGTCCCCCTCTCTTGCCATCCTTGCTCATCCTCTACTTCCAGAAAGCACTCCACTCACCTCTCTAACAGGGTATCAGAATATTCATCTGTGTCTGTTTTATTTTGTATCTCACATCTTTGTGGTAGAGGGTCTGTGTAGTGCATCTACCTAATCTGCCATCTTTCTGGAAGTCTCCTTCCATCTTCTTTTGGTGCTTTCTGTGTACTTCTATTTTGCCCACACACTCCTTCAATATTGCAAGCCTTGAATTTTTTTTTCCAGTTTTTTCAACCTGAGAAATGCTGAACATGTTCTTTTCTTTTGGTTGTCTAACATCAGGTCTTTGCACACTTCATTATAATAC